AAATATGTTTAAAATGTATTAATATGCTATGTATTGAAGAATGTTGGACAGTGAATAACCTATGAACATTATGTAGATTCTCTGATCTATGTTGTGCCATGCAATATACTGCCATGCAGTATAATTACATTATGTTCATTTTTTAAATAGAAATTTACTATGAGATATTTAATAGAGAATAGTAACCTAGAAACCAAATTAAAACATTTAGTTTCACTCTATATCTCTTAAATAGGATCTGTTCCCTAAAGCTCTGTTCCTTTATTAAGTTTATAGATATATCTGTTGAAAATTTACTTGCAAGCTAAGCAGTCCTCCAAAGGTCTGCTTTATGACACTGTAAAGTTAGTTTAAGTTAGATGTGTCAGTCTGACACATTTGTACTGATTCTAGACAGAAATCAAAACCATGACTTGGTGCTTTAACAGGTTTAAGTATTTTCAAATATTTTTTCTCCAGGTTTTGAGAAAAGTTAAATTTCTGGCTACCAGCTCAGAAATGTATGTATTTTTAAATGTGTGTATATATATGTAATCTGAAGTGATTAATTTGAGATCCTGCTAGGTATGAAAACTAAGCTATACAACTGCCTATGCATTATAAATTGTCTGCTTTTGAATAATTGTTTAAATCTCTATCCAAACCTTAATCAGTTAAGTAAATTTTACAGTAAAATGTTGTCCAGCGCTTTCTTGAAATTCCTATTATAGCTGATGAATTATATTGTCTTTCTGCAAATGTGCAACATCAGAACACACCGTTAACTTACATCAAGTAAGCCATACTAATTTATACAGAGTAATTTCTCTGAATTACAGCCCAATGCTGATGAATAAAAAAATCTTGAGAGTCCACATTTTTCTAATGTCAAATGCATGTTTAAGTTGGCATGACAAGCAGACTCTTTAGGATTGCTCAGCGTATGAATCTCTGCATATTGCCAGGTCAAAGGCCAGTAACTGTCTGCTACAGACGAATCCTCAGAGCCTCAATTCTGTGATTATTCCCTCCAAGCTCCCAGGAATGAAGTACACTGCGGATGAACAGTGTCAGATTCTTTTTGGACCAACTGCTTCCTTTTGCCAAGAAATGCAGGTAAGGATGGGTATATACTTCAGAAAATACACCTACCAACTCATTTTTCTGTGAAAGATATTTTTGTGCATGTATTTTAGAGAAAGAGAACATAGCACCTTCGAAACAAGAAGTTTACACTTTGCTTTCCAAGGTTAATAGGAGTGTTTTCATTTTTTTATCTTGTAAGGCTTGCTTTGGATCTCCAAGCATCCTGAATCATACCACTCATGTGTTCCTTGTACTTTAGAAATAGAAAATGTCATAGTGTGAAGTCACCTCGTTGCAGCGAACAGAATATTTGCAATGGGACTAGATTTCACGTGTAGATTCCGTTTCATTATGCTTTGGGTATTGAACCTCCATATCTGACCTTCAGTAGAGTATGCTGTGCCTATGCATGCTCAGAGGGAGCATAGTGGTGTTAGCTGGGCTCCCTGTACCGCTGAATATACCCTGACTCCCAGCAGGTCCCCTGTGAGTCCTGGCAGAGCTGTGCAATGCCATGGCAATAGGAGTTCCAGTACTTAAGTGAGTTTGCTGACATTACTTCATGCCATTGTGTTAAACAATGTCACTGTATATTAACCTTGAAAAGACAGATTAACAAAATTGAAAAGGTCTTCATAATTATATGGGCTAATACTAGTAGACATCTGATTGAAGAAGCATTTTAAGACTGGTTTTAACAGAGAAAAATCGTCCTTCTTTAATGTCAACAGGACAGGTACTAAACATGTTGGATGCCCTTGAGAAGGTAACCAAGACAAAATGGGTAGATGATAATACAAATGAATAAAGAGAATGGAGTATGGGTTGATAGAATGGGGCCTAGAAGGAACTGTGAAATAAAATTTCATGAGAGTCAGAGCGGACAGATAGCCTGGAAAGGTCAGGAATATTTAATATGAAAGCATAATTCCTTACTCCTTTAGTTCTTCAGTTCTCTTCATCTTTTCAGCTTAGACATAGTACTCTTTCTTTAGCGAGTTTCAGTGAGAGGGATCTTTATCCTAAAGATTCTCAAAGGAAACATTGCAATACATGTATGACTACTGCATGCTAAGAGTGGTATAGCTACAAAAACAAGGAGCTCTAGGTTACTGGTTATTATTTTAACTGTCTTATTGAAAACATTTTCACTCTGAGAGATGAGCAGTAGAACTCAATGTAACGATTCTACAAATGTTCTCAATTACTTCCAAGTGCTTTTTTCATGAATTGCAATCTGTTTCTTGTTTTTTAGTACTTTGTTTTCAATTAAAAGATGTGATTTTGGTTTCTCATTCTCTAGAAACCCATTTTGAACAAGAAAATGGTACAGCGTTAGCCCATTATTTCTTCTAGGTTTTCTTTAACAGGTAAAAGAATTTCAAAGGTAATTGAAGAGATAGTCAAACCTGGAGACTTGCTGTTGCATAATACCTTTATATGCTTTTCATTTCTCTGGGCACTTCTCCTCCTTTAATACCCTTGTGTTTATTTCTAATTCAGGCATTTAAATTCAAGTAGCTAAGTAGTCTCGTGCCTGTTGTGTTTCATTCACACACATATTCTTCTCTTGGGGTCCTGACTCCAAGGTTTCTTTGGCTTTCATTATTATTTTAGAAATGATAGGAAGATAAATTCAGTTAACACTATCCTAATAGTGTTCAGCTGTTTGCACAGAGACTACTTAGGCTCTGGGTGCTGGTACTTGTCCATTTCTAATCATCTTCAATCATTTTCTCCTCTTATGGCATTTTGTATGTAAGAGGACACATTTCAGCTAAATCACTTGTACCATTCTTCTTTTCTTCCCACTTACTGGATCGTTACTTTATATTAAAATGGTTAGCTTAGGAAAATTCCTGTTAAATATTAGTACTAAGATACCGTTGTAGCTTAAATCCAAAGATATGCGGGCTTGCTTTGAAGAAAGAACCTAGTAATGATACAAGACAATACAAAAGGCCGGTGGCCTTTCCAACTATTCTTTTTTTCTGACAAACTGCAATTTAATTTTCAGTCATCTTTGTAAACCAAGTCTGTTCCTTGATAAGCTTATGGTCTTAACAGTAAGAAAAAGAGAACTTGATAACAGTTTCTGAGAAGAGAACAATGGGAAGAACCTTCTGCAATTTCACAAAAATCCTCTGCAAAACTGGTAACCCTGAACCGGAAATCATACAAGCAAATGCTGAACCACAAAATTATTGTAATGCACCTTTAAAAGCTTTGGTCCAAAGCTATTAGAAATAACATAAAAATGAATAAAAGACACTAAGGACAGAACTGAGAAAATCTGGTGAGGGCACTGGGGCAGAAAAGGTGATCTCCAAAGCTCCACTGCCAACCTCCGTGAAGTCACCTTGTTGGTTTCCTCTGCATTCTTTTGTCTGGAAGCAAAATTTACACTCCCACATTCCCCCCAACAAAAAAATCCAAGAAATTTGATCCTGAAACTGTAGACCTAAAGAGCTTGTTACAGCACGCTTAGGCACTATATTCAGATCTCCTCCTTTTGTTCCCTGCTCTGGGTCTTAAATTTAGCTCTTTAGGGAAGTTTACAGTATCCTAGTCCAATTAAATAAGATTTCTACGGTGAAGAGGAAACTCAGAACAATAGATAAAGCACAGCCCAAAGGATAAGAAAGCCATCCTGTTCTTACATATGTTTCTCCTATGTATGAAGAGAAAGAAAAAAAAAAGATGTTGCAATTTAAATTGGGCTAGAATCAAGCTATATAAACTTTCCAGAAAACCTTCATGGGTTCTAGTACATGGACTGTGCAACACCAACATTGTCTAACTGCGAAGTGCTTTTGGTCAGTAGCTAATTTTATCACCTGCCTCTGAAATACGAGGATGTTAGATGGAAATAACAAATATGTTGAATTTAACCTACCAAATAATTGCATTTTACATGTTATGAAAGTGATTCAAAGTTCACTGTGTTGATTGTACAGATTATTGTGGCTGCCATTAGAGAAGTCAACATTTAGAAAACTTCTCTAAATTGAATACAATATTTCATTAGTTGCAGTATTAATTTATTTAAATAATTATTTTATTATACATTGGCAACCACTGGATTTTCCGTGAAATCCAAACTACTTTCTTTTATCTCTGTATACTCTCTTCTACTCTGCCTGGCAGCTTACTGTGGTTACAGTTGTCCACAAGCCAGGAAATGAGAGAGAAACATACTCCTTGACAGTTCATTTAAACTTCAGTAAATCCAACAATTTATAGCCCAGGATTTCTTGGATACATTCTACTTGCTTGTACAGTTCATGCACTTCAGTGTAACTATGTAAAAGATAAATTACGAACTATGTTAGAGTCTTACATTTTTTGTGACTGGAAGATAATTTGATGACCAGACTTCCATGCAGTCTTTTACATTAAGCAAGTATGTTTCATATATAACAGCTATTCAACTAAGAAAACAATTGAGTAATGATGGAAAATAATTTTCTTAATGATCTAAAAATAATCTACAAATATCAGTGGTACAATCAATAATGCATTTCTGCTGAGATGTAATTTTCTACAAACGTTATTACTGAGCAGCACTTTAGGATAATTTACAGTCACATTACATGGCAATCTCTGTGAAACACTGCAGATGCCAATGATTTTCCCTTGCTATCAGGAATTCCTCTTTATAATTTAATGGCTAAAGCAATGGACTGAAGGGACCATTGAGAGCCTACTCCCGTATTTTCCTAAGTGAGCCCCTCCCACTCCTCTTTCATGAATGGTGTCCAGACTTTATTTTTTCCTTTTCATCTTTATTTCAAAGACTTTTTTTAATACCCTAAGCAAAATTTATAGAGCCTGAGAAAAGTGTGAGTGGATCTCAGAGTACAAGATTTATACCATGTTTCCATGCTTACCTTGTAAGGGAGCCAAGTTTGCTTTTATGCCCATGAAGTCTCACACAAGAATCAATTAGAGCCTAACATGGTTTCACATAACAGATAGTGAGATCATGGCCCAGAAGTACTTCTTGATGATTAAATGTGATTGTAGAACTTGACAATTGAATATAATCGTTGAACTATTAAATATTGGCTTTTAAGATTAAAGTTCAGGATGCAAATGCTATCTAGTCAGTTTCACTAAAACAGTTCTTGTCATAACACAGCTGTGATCTTTGCAAATAAGTAGGAGATTGGTTATATTTCACGGTGATCTTTAAGGGATTTCAGGGAAATATCACAATTAAAAGAACGAAAGTCATGGAAATATTATAGCCCCGGTGAAATCTGTCCTCATCTCTACCAACACACTTCAATCTTGACTTTGCACAAATACAGTTCTGAAATGCTCTTTTTGTCTCTGTTTTTTCCTCTCAACTGGACCTTCTTTCCAAATGCTTATATGATTGGAAAAGAATCCCTGTGATGCACACACACCTGCCTCACTCTTTTCATTCAAAAAAAACCCCAAAAGCTGGAATGACCTCTGCTATTTTTGTAGTACATTGTGACTTTCATGTTGTATTTGACAATCTTTTGCTGTGAAAAACTCACAATTAACACATTCTTTCAGAAAAAATAATTTGTGTGTGCTTGGCAAGATTTTGTTTTCCAGTGTACACACAATGAAATATTTTACAGATTGTGAATAGCCTAATATCAAGTGTAAGTTTATAATCTCCAATAACTCTTACTTCCCTTGGCTAGTCTAAAAAACTGTAATGGCTGTTGAACTGTGCTTATGATACGTAACTAGTAAACCTCTGTGAACGTTAACTTAGCATTTCCTGATTTTGGCTGAATGAAGCTTTCTTTCTCCCCAGCGGGGTAAATTTCTGGTTTAGAAGTTTGTGCTCTGACTTTGCAGTGACTGTAATATTGACACTGGCCTCCAGATTTCTGTTAGTTTTCAAATCAGTTCTGATCTGCAGCATTGCAGGTTGCTAATGAAAAAAACAAGTTGCGCATCGTGGTTTTTCCCCAGCCATATGCAGAAATACCCAAATGTCAAAAGTTAAATGGTACAGTAAACTCCATTTTTCTTATTTATGCAGCAGAAGTACAACCTGAAGAGTAACTAAAAACTCTATTTGTGATTTGACTGAAATGGAAAGCCCAGAAAAAAACTTACAAGTCATCCTCCAATTTTAGTAATTCCATATCTCCATTTCTTGGGTTTAGGGAATCTCAAAGTCTAGGATGAAATGTTATAGTAATATTGAATGCTTATTTTAAAAATTGGTGAAGTGAGTGTTTTTAGAATACAGTTCACTTAAGCCTCAAAGTTGTTTCTAGCTGGGGAAGTTAGATTCATGTTTCATAAGGAGGTGGTATACAAGTGTTTGCAGACACATGCAGATGTATTTAAAGCACATTAGCAAGTCAAGCGTCTTGATTTGATTTACTTGATTTACTTTACACAGCTCAAGTGTATCTGTGTTTATCTTGTAAATCTGACTTCCTATCTTCCTAAGTTTAGAAGAATTGTTTCCGGATTTGTAAGGAACTGTAGGTTTGTTGTCAGCCATTCCACAGTCATCTGCAAGTGAAATTGAGCACAAGATCAAAGTGTTCAGGGGAAAAAAAAAAGAATGACATGCTGTAAAACGTGATGAAAGGAAAATTTGACTTTATTTTTTGAAAACCTGGATGGCTTTTCCTCAAATGTAGTCATTGACAAATGAAGATTTAGGGATATGAAAAAAATTATTTGAATTAGGAAAATTAAATTAGTATATATTTTTGTGGAGTTGTTCCAACAGTATAGTCTGATATTTCATAGTTGGTATGGAAGCACTTTACCATGAACATCTGATACTCTGTCTCATCTATATTGTCTTCCAAAACTGGCCCAGAAGTCTTCTTGCTAAGTTTAGTTCTCGGCTCTGAAGTTATATCTTAAAGTGCATGTTTAAAAAAAAATTAACAGAATAAGTTCTCTTTTCCCTTGAACAAGAGCAGAAATGACAGTTTGATATTTGAAAAATGCATGTTAAAATTATCCAGGAACAGAATAGCACTTCTGGAGCTATATTTTAGGATATGCATAGGCTAACTGTTGTCTTGTTAGTTCAGCACAAAACTGTTGCACGATGAATCAGGAGTGAGTCTGACTGCTGCCATCCTGTCTCTTGTTTCTGTGCAATGTTTCAGACCTCTACAATCTTTGACATTTTTTGAAAGCTGATGTTACAGACATTTTTACATGCAAGACTCCCACTGGAACTGTCCTGTTCCTTGTTCAGACACAATCTTCTGTTGAATTATGTTTCCTGTGCCATAAGACTTTTTTCAAGGTAGCATGAGATTTATCACACATTTTTCATGCATAGTGTAAAAGGCACAGAGCCTCTTACTGGTTTTACCAATGTAACAAATCATTTCAGTCAGAAAAAGCACGTCTTCTGGTTTCAAAAAAACAGCTGATCTTTATATTTTATTCTTCCTGCAACCCGTCCCCCTCTCCTGATCCTTCTTTCCCCTCTTTGGGGGTACTATACATATTTGGGGGGAATCAGTCTGCACATGCAATAACATTCAGGCCACAATTGGGCCCCATGTGCTCTCTGTTCACATCCACCTGGTTTACCAGTAAGGGGGAGACAGCGAGGAGAATGAAGTCATGACTAAAAACCATGGAAGAAGGAGGACTTTTTAGAGGAAAATAGGGAAAGCTGCCAAGGAAATTTGGGGAAATGTGAGCCAGCATACTTCATGGCTGTACTTTCTTTTGAAGAAGGTAAAACTCTCTTGTTCTGATGCTTAAGAGGGACAGAATAAGCAGCTTTTCTTTCCATCTCTAAAATTCACTACTGACTAGTACCCCTCTCATCTCCCTTCTCTTCTTCCCAGCAAAAGTATTTCATCCTGAATTGTCAGTTTACTTCGTATCTTATTTGTGGATAATTGGGTTTGATTGCTTTTTTGAGATATTTCTAGAGGAATAAATGAATTCTAGAGGAATTATGAATCATTGGAAGAGCATAAGATAGCAGCAATTATTGGGATGGTATGAACAAGTGGGATTTGGAAGTCCTAGAGAAGCCTCAAAGTTTCTTACAGACACATTTTTACAAAACTCCCATGAACATAGTTCCATGTAGCTGCACAAAGACTCATTAGTCCCTGTATGTAGAAATTTTAAAACTTTGGGTTTTGTTGCTAGTGACAGTGCTATTTTTCTCCCTTTCACATAAAATGAATGAGCACTAAATAAAAAGAGTAAAAATACGAACTAGTTTTAAAAATAACTCCCAGAAAGCTCATACCTCTACCAGTCTCTGGGGGAGCGCATCTGTGCAGCGGCTGCTTCACATCATGGGGCAAAGTTGTTCCAATGTGCTTTGTCAGATCTGCCGTATGCAAAGACTGTGACTGCTAGGGTTAGACTTGGAGGGTTCTTCCCCCTCTCTATCAACACACCAGCTTGACTTGTTCCGTGTGTTTGTGATTAGCAAAAGTCTAAGCAGAATCTGCCTACTTTGGGGTTTTGTGCATGTTTAACCTGTCTTTAAACATACTTCAGTACCATCAAACTGGTAACTTTACAACATTAGTAGATTGCATGCACAAAGTAATTTTGCGTAAGATAGATTTTGTACTACCTGTGTGTTTCATTTTTAGCATGTCATTTGCACTGGGTTGTGGTGTAAGGTGGAAAGTGAGAAGGAATGCAAAACTAAACTGGATCCGCCAATGGATGGAACAGACTGTGACACTGGAAAGGTATGTTTCTGGTGGAAGAGCAATATAAATTATATTGAACACCTAACAGTTAAGGAAACAAGCTGAATAGGTCTTTGCTCGTGTTTAAGTTCCTGCTTACCTCAATTATCATAAAAATCATACATATATAGTTGAATGTATTATATGTTATGGATTATATAATATAGATATGATAAAAAGTACATTTCCCTAAAAACACTGAATTTAAAAAAAAAAGTTAGCCAAAGCCACAGATGTTTTAATGCTTGGAATGTTTTATTTCAAATGTGTTCTGGTTTTGTATCCTATTCATGAATGGAGTGTCATTGTATCGCACTGCTTACTGTAAACAGAAACATAAGCTTTCAAAGATACAAAGTTCTCAGCTACGATTTAAGATTTAGAAATAGTCTCATTGAAGGAATTGATACAGGTTTGTGATAAAACTTTCAGGATAAGCTTTGTAAAGAAATATTTATAGTGTCAGTGAATGTAAAAGAGTGATAAATGTCATTAAAAGTATGCCATCAAAGACAAATTAAATGGTCACCTGAAGTCAGACTTACATTAAATGTCCTTCAAGAGCTTTCCTGCTTGAGTAATTTCTGTCATTTCTGTATATAACTGTAAATGAAGATAAATAACCTCAAATAGATAACAGAGCAGGAGCATGCATATATCTTGGGATTTTCATGATATTGTGCTGACAGCAGTCTCCCACAGGAGTGATTTGCTCTTTGAATCATATTACATTCACCAGGACTGTCATCATCCCCCTAAAAAAGTAAACAAATCAATCAACTGAGTAAGATAAAATGTTCAGATAATATCATTTTACATGCTAAAGGAAAAACAGGCTTTATTCATTTTTGAATCTTGAAAATAATGACATTTGCTATGATCTTTTGATTCTGGTAAATGTGTTGATATTCTGCTTAAGTCAATACCTGGAAAGTGAGGGACATGCCTTTTGTTCTATGTTGCATTCTTTACATTAAGACTGGTGTACCCATGGTATGGAATAAGAAAGCAGCACCTCTTATTAAGACTACCCAGAATTTTTCATTGTGAAACCATGGCCATCGTGAACTGGGCACCTGAAATTAGTGTGCGTTTTGCATATTAATGTCTGACTTGCAAAAGGTAGTAACAGCAACTCGTTGCAGAGGACTCATTCTAACTTTATGCTTGTGGGAACATTATGATATAGTAGTGACATGGGTCCTGGGAAAGTCCAGTGAGGAAGGTAACACCATTCTCTTTATTGTAGGGCTTAGCTAGTAAGGAGTAAATGATTAGTAAGGGTAAAACAAAATACTGATTCTAATTACAACAGCTCATTGAGCCTTGTGCCAAGCTACAGAGATCCCTTTTTTGTGTTTAGCAGTAAAAAACTAAGCAGACATTACTGAAACATTTCAGAGGATTAGAAGGGATTATTCTTCTTGTTTACTTTATCATCTGTCCAAGATGAGCTTCAGATTACACAAATCACTGGCTTTGTTTTGTTTTACTTATATTGTAAAGATGGAGTATTGTTGTCTTGTGCTCCTCTTAGGATCTTAGGAAGTGATGGAAATGTCATTTGCTTAACCTGTGCAACTTGGTTGTTTTTTAAATCAAGGATTCATAAGCATCCTTCAGACTCTGCATGAGGCAGATGCTATCTCTAGAGAAAAATCCATTTTGCCTATTATATCTGAAGGAGTATCTTTAAATAAATATGAGCAGGTTTGGTCTGAAACATCCAAGAGCATTACAAAATTTGTAGTTTCTGATTGCAAATCCAATATAATGTTGGAACCATCCTATGTGAAGACTTTTCAAAGGTGGTATAGTTATACCATCATTGTAATGCCATGATTTAAGAGGGAAAATTAAGATCAATTGATCAGTGAAGACCAGTTTGAAACTGCAGGTGAAGTTTAATATCACCAGACAGGAATTTAGCACAGACACTGCAAGTAATGGAAGTGTATTCTAAAAGTGACAAAGGCCTTTATTGACTGCATTAGTGACATATTTTGTTTTGCTCAAAACATGAGACTTCTTCATGAACTTTATCCATTGATAACAGTAATTCACCAGTAAGTCAGAGTGCAAAGAGAATGGGTTAAATTACTGATGTTAATGATATTAAGTGTTCATTGTCTACTTGTAGCCTTATTGCTTTGCAATTGCTGAAATTTCATAATACACGGGACAGATATTCAGCTGGTATAAGTTGATAAAGTACTAGTTTCTGCAGTTATGATGATTTATACCAGATATGGACATAGGTTGCCGAGCATAACAATAGTGATTGGGTAGTTTTTGAGTGAGAAATTGAAGTTGTCCTGGGAAATGATATATGCCTAAAAGATTACTGAGGTGATTATTGTTATTAAATAAATACCAGAAATTCTCTTGACTTTCTCAACACTAGCTTATTGAGGCTTCCATTCTCACTTTGAATACAAGATGTGAATAAAAACTCATTTTCTCTATTACGTGTAATATATCCTTCTATTGAAATTGTCACTGGATAATCAGTGACAATGCAGTTCCTGTTAGTTATGTGGGAATTGTAATAGTGAACCAAACAAGTCCTGAGAACAGCTCTGAACACTGTGCTGTGATCATCCATACAGTTCAGCTGGAGGATAATCATTGCAATGGGTTTGGGTTGGACCCAAAAGCACTTTCCTAGGCAGTGCCCAGGCTCAAATGAAGGGGACAGCATGGTCTGGGGACCATTTCCAGCAGGCTATTCCAGGAGGCATCCTTTATTGGGAACGAACTTGTGCTCGAGCTTGTGGACAAGAGTTGTGCCTGCTTCTTGGCCACTGAGCCAGAGAAAGGTCTCTGGCTGTTGTATTTACTAGGGTAGAAAAAAAACTATGGGGAACAATAGGAAAAAATATATCTGACTCATATGAAAACTATGTATTGAACAAAATGTTTATGTTGTGCTTCCCATGTGCTTGTGGAGCAGTGAATTGTTTTGCATATGCTTTGATTTATTTACCTAAGAGCTGAATTTTCACCTAGTGGTGTAAGGCTGGAGAGTGTATCAATCGGACCTCTTTTGCGGAGCATATGGAGGGGGAGTGGAGCGTGTGGAGCACTTGTAGCCGTACTTGCAACACTGGAATCAGCAGTCGACAACGCAAATGCCCTGGGTAAAATCAAGTTCAGGTTTCCGTTGCTGTTCATCAAAATTTCTGAACAGAATTTCTATCTTATGAATACAGAAACCCATTAAGATCTAGTTGTCTTAACATAACCGATTCATTTTTTATGAATACTGAAAAACAATTAGGAGAATAGGTATTTCAGGGCTTTTTATTGCATGCTAACACTATTTTTCTTCTTTTCTGCTTCTGTTAAAAGCCTAGATAACATTAATGGGAGAATACAACTTTCTTTTTAAGCTTCACCTGAAGAAGCAACAGAAAATTAAATTAGTAATTTTTGACTTGCAGAGCGTCAGTGTGTAATTCTATTCTCAATTTTTTTCTGGAGAAAATTGACTTCTGTCTCATTTGGAAAGACAAGGAATTGCAACTTTTACAAAGAGATCTTTCTACCAGTTTCACAGTCATTTAGATAGAATATCTGGAAACAACATTTAGATTCCATATCTTGAGAAAATGAAAACCTTGTCCCATTGGGGATAAAGGGAGGTTTACCATGGACTTGAATAGAGTCTGTTTCACCATATCTCAGTGGTCAGCTAAAAGATGCTTTCCTTTTAATTACTCATTACCATGTCTCTCTTTTGGTGGTCATTTATACATCAAGAGAAAAAGAATAAATTAGGCAGAGAATGGGAACAGACTAGAGCTGAATAATGAAGGCAAGTGTAGAGAAGAGTAGACTAGACTAGACTAGACTAGACCAGAGTACAGTAGAGTAGAATAGAATAGGGTGGGGTAGGGTAGGATTGGGCAGAACAGGGCAGGGCAGGGCAGGGCAGAGTACAGTAGAGTAGATGATTTAGGAAAGTAATAGAACAAAAGGGGAAATGAAGAAAGGTGAAAGGTAATATAACAGATTAGGGGCAAAGAATTATGACAGGAAAGACAGAGGGATTAAAAAAGAGAAGTTTACATAAAGAAATGTGAGGAATTGGATATGGCTATACAAAAGCATTTTAGTTTAACAGAAGCCTTAGATATGTAGAATGCTTTCATATTTCCTGCCATCTAAATGCCACTTCCAGCTGTATGCCTAAAAGCTATTTCTAGTATTTAGGGATGTCTTAATTTTGCTTTCATTCATTCATTTTTCCAGGCAAGGTTCCAAATAATTAGCTCCAGTTTCTGCAGTTCACCATTCTTTTGCATTTGTTCATTAGGACCTGCAAGCACAACTGGAGCGACGAAAAAGAAACAAAGCATATTGTCTGAACTTTGCAACACTACACTTGTAGAAAAGGAGAGGTAGCAAATCTGCAGGTGTTACTTCCTTTCAGTGGCACTTCTGGCTCATTCGAGCTAGAGAAAAATTACCTGAACTACATCAAAACTGCAGTTGAGGTTCTCCTTACTGAACCCTCCTGCTAGTCCTAGTGCTTCTCTGGGGCCAAGTGTAACTTGTGGTTTAGCACCCATGACTCTTCATATGTAACATAAGCAGTACAAACAGAAGGCTAACATGTTTTGTTATGTGACTTTGATTTTTTGTGTGTGATTTCCTAATGTTATGTGTCAACAAAAAATCTGCTATTTAGATTTAATTTGTGTATGGCATAAACTTTGCTGTAAGTTTGACAAAACATTACCAACAATAAAGCATGATATTGACACCATCTTTTCTAGTTCAGGCCTTGAAGGAGAGTGTCACGGTCCCACAATGCAGTACAGAGTATGTGAAAATCCTTCTTGTCCTGCTGGCATGCCTGCCTTCAGGGACTGGCAGTGCCAGGCTTTCAGTGTCAGGTCATCTTATCAGAAGCATGTGCACCAGTGGCAGGCTGTCATCGATGATGGTAAGTATAAACCATCTCCCACGTTCTTATCATCTGCTCATACGGCTTATAGCTTGTTGGTATTGTTCTTGATTAAGAAAGATATGGTAAAAACTAAAGCAAACAAACAAACCAACCCCAAGCCCAAGATTTTTAGTAAGTAATTTTTATTTCATAGGCAAGCTCTGGTGGTATTTTCACACGGTCTGGCAACTTTTGTGTTATATTTCTATTGAATTTGTCCTTCTTGATATGTAATGACTACATTTGAACTCAAATTCAGTATCAGTTTGTTCCTATTTAATCAGAAATATAGTATGAAGTGACTGAAAAATACACCTTTCTAGAGGAATGCTACATCATTAAGCATGCGTATATCATTTATACTTCTACCAACAAAGCCAAAAAGACAGCATGGATATTGTAAGCTTCTATTTTTGAGGAAGGAGAGAACACTTCTAGCTTAACACTTAAGTATTTCACATACCACTGCTTGATTTTGGTAGAAATCCATATGTAATGCATACTGCAAACTTAGATAAGATTTCTATAAATCCTAACAGCTACTGCATGCAAAGTTCTGTCATACTCCATGCATGCTTCAGTGTAACAAACTTGCTTAGATGCCATATCATTAGAAGAGTGCTGAAGTGGGACTAATGTCGAACTTAGAGTATCTGCAAAGATAATGTTGGTGTAAAATATCAGCAGCTAGAAAACAAAACATTCAACCCAAGTGCTTGCTAGAAATGTGAACAATAGCTGCCATTCCACTGAATTTTCTCTAAATTGTTATGATGTAATTTATTTATTTAAAAAAAAAAAAAAGAAAACAAGAAAACAACAGAAAGACTTCAGTTATGAAAACAGTTAATTTGAGAAATTAACAAAATCTATAGCTACTGGTGATAAAGAAGAGCCTGGAATGACACAGGAGTACTGTAGGTATATGTTACCACATTTTAAGTAGTTCATTATTGCCATTTAAATTTAACTCTTGAAATAAATTGTCAGACACCATTAGAAAGCATAGATTTTAAGAGAACTATTTTGCTGAATCCCGAAAAATGTGAATTTATTATCAAGAATTTATTTTAATATATGCCTAGCTAAACAAGGGGTTTTTTTTCTTCTAAGTCTTTTCTCAAGGTGCCGAAGTGAAAACTTGTGAGACTATTTTCATTAGGCTTGTATGTTAGCGCATTTCATAGTAAGGAGAACTCTCTCCAGTTATTTTATAGGTGCTTATCTAGTGAATTAGTTTTGGTTTGTTTTACGAAATTTCATTTTAGCATAGGAACACATTATTTATATCCTAAGGGATCAAAAGTTTTCAGCCTGACTTTAAAAATTCAGTCATCTGATGAAAAATCTTGATGACACTCTCCTGTTCCTTGTTAAGGAGTGTGGATGGTTGCTTTTATCTAACTTTGTTCTGAGAGATCCTGTTGTCTTGAGGTGTCCCTCAGGACACATAAAAGTGGACACCAGCTAAAGAGTTTCAGTACTACAGAAATACATTGTTCCCAAATCTTTAATTATTTGCACTCTTAGCCTTTCATAGACACTAATTGTGCACCATGTCCAAAATAGTTGCTGTATTTGAATGACGTCTCCTATAGTCTCTTGAAGTTGTCTGGTGTTGTTGAATTACTGTCTCTTTGAGTTCAGTGTCCTTAAAATAACGTTTAAGTTGTTGATCTTGTATTCCTTTAAAAAAAGCTGATGCATGCTTAAAGCTCCCAGGGAAGTTTGGGATTACTATTGAAGGAGTATAACAGAAGGGCAGAGGGCACAAACTCAGGCAGAGACTCACGCTTCTCAGCTGGAGATGGCTTGTGTCTGGCTGGCTTCACACGTTGGCAAAAGAGATCACATCTGTTTGCACCAGTCCCCTAGAGATACCCAGAGGCTTTGTCAATTTTAGTAAATTAAATGTGCCCAGACCACTCTCTGATGCGTAAGTCAGCTCGCACAGAAGTCTTGTGTCCGTACTTGTCAACTCTTTTGCACTCTAAAAAGAATGGTGACATCCAAACTGCTTTTTGGAAATGGTCCTTTGCAGGTGGCAATTTCCAGTCTAGACCGAGCTAGTGCTAGTTAGCACAGGCAAAAAAATGTGGCATAGACTGTTTTACAGTTCAGCTGTATAGACAGTAGAATTCCAGTGCCCATGAACGTTTCCTGGAACTGTTTAATTTACTAATAAAAATGCACTCCAGGAGTCTAGAAGTCAGTATTAAGTCAGAATGGCATAGATTGTATCCAAGTGAAATCAGTTTCAAGTTCAGGATTGACTTTATTCTTTCAAAAATCTGCAACAGATTTAGGAAGAAGTTCTGAGTCAGTACACTTGCGAATAAAGATACAAAAAGTCATGTCATTTTGTACTCAATTTACCACTGAGAGGAGACTTAGTTTATTTTATTTGGTATTACTTTGGCAGTGGTGAAGCAAACTTCATTATTTATACATTATGATCATTAGGAATACATGGATACATAGGATATTATTACTTTTTTGTTCTCTTTCAAAATTAGAAATGATTTGCAGAATGTTTTAGAAATGTAGTAGAAAATTGCCTGACCTTGGTAAAGATGTTAGAAAGAATGTGTTCAGTTTTTTGTTTTTTTTTTTTAATGTGGACTTTGTAAATCTGTATATTTTTCTTCCCAGGGTGTCTCCATTACTTAATTTTTTTCTCTTTGACCTGCATAGTTAGAAAATCTGGAAAGTCTTAAGTTTCTTTTTTCACCAATATTTGTGATCTGCCAAAAATATAGTAGAATGAAAGTATAGATTACAACCAAAATATTCCGACAGCTGTAATGTGCATATTCTTAATTGCAACAATGAACATGACATGAGTACTATGTAGGCCAAGTTTATAGCACTAGTATGCTCTAGCAGGAAAAAGAACTTGAGTTTTTCAAACAGCCGAGAAAAGGATCAAAATATTTTTGATTTCACTGTATCTAAGATAACTCGTTATGGTAACGTAGATTCATGCCACACAAGTAAGCAAATACCAGTTTTAAAAATAACGATGATAATAATTCTGTATGTGTTAAGTGACCTTTTACCAATTTGGTGGTTTTTTCCATCAATTGCTACTACAGAAAAGCCATGTGCCTTATTCTGTTCACCGGCTGGAAAGGATCAACCCGTTCTTCTAACAGAAAAGGTGATGGATGGGACTTCTTGTGGCCAGCATGGGTTAGATGTCTGTGCAGATGGTAGATGCCAGGTATGAATTACTTGTTTCGAACCTGGGTACACAGGCACACGTATGCGAGCGCGTACATTTGTTATGCATGTGTGTTATTTCTTTGATAGCGTGTTGCAATATGCGTGACCAAGACTGAATGGCTCTTTTTGTGTCATATTAAAATATTTTAAGTTAATTTCACTCAGTGCAATACAGTTAGCTTGGGGAATCTGTGATGATAGGGATGCTTATAACAAACTGCTGCAGAGTGGAAAATGAGTATAATTGATTTCATCTTCTAAGGGAAGCCTCAGCTTTCAACAGTTTGGGAAATTTTGCCGTGATATGTACGTATGTATGTCTAATTCTGCCTTTTTTGGCAGTACAAAAGTTTACATCTAAACAAACCAAGACCAAAGGAGCTGAATAACAGTTAAATAAAGCTGAGTGCTTATATTATTCATGATCCTCAGAATTCATTTGGTTCATAGAAGTTCTTTCGTTGCTTTTGTAGTGCCTCATATGGAAACTCTTCTATATAAAAATCCCACAGAGCTGATTTTTTTCTTTGTCCGCTTCTCATTGCACACATTAAATTCAGTAGAAAAACCAACCTTTAACACAGAAACAGCATTGCTAGATACTGTAATAGCTTCAACAAATTAACTTACAGATGCATGCATGCATCTATATATGCATACAAATGCATATATGTACATATAGTTATCCTTTCTTGAGTGACTGAGTGCCTGCAACAAGAATACTCTTAAATACTTTGCTGAATTGGGACTTTAATTCACCATGTAACAATTACAGGTTTAATCACAAATACGATACATAGCCCGTTCTTCCTCAAAAAATGTCGTTTTATCATTCACTTTTAATAACTGACTAATAAAGACCAAAAAAAAGCCTTAAACCAAACCCACCTGACTAAGACTGAGTTGGCTTCTTGGCATATGAAGGATCAGAGAGATAGATGCTAATCAGATTTGAAAGTCTAATTTGTAAGATCTTCCACATTTTTTCCTGTCTTTTTAGACAACCCATTAGGAAGAACTTTGGGGACTACAGCTGTAGAGTTAGGTTTTCTATCTTGTAGATGTGCCATTTTGGATGCACAGCTCTTTGAATGCTTATGCTGTAATCAGTATTTTAAAATGTATATTGCTTTTTTTAGGTAGAAGAACTCTAATAAAAATTCTGTGCATAAAGTGAAGTAACATTCTTAATATGCTTGGAAATAAGTGGCTCCTTGACAGACCGTGGTTTCTGTTCTTAAAGGAATCCATTATTTTCTCTTTAACCTAGCTTTTACCTCATTATTTATCAAACAGTCTTGAAGTTTAATTGGTTTTATCAGATGCATTTATACAATGCACAAGATTACCCTGTGATGAATTCTCTAGACTTTAAAGGGCTTTTATTTCATATCAGGCCAGCATATGATATTAACTGTATTCCTATTGCCAAGCTACCACTGATATTTATTGATAGAAATGTGTCTAACATAGTAGTGTGGAGGTGCTTGAATAAACTAAATTTGTTTTAAACTGAATGCTTTTTAGCAAAACACAAATACAATTTATATTTACATATTCCAGACGTGTTCACATCCTATTCGGAATAAGACGTTAGGTTGACATTAAACAGCATTTTACCACTGTGGGTGTGGCAAAGAACCTCCCATATTTTGAGTAGAAAGCAGTAGAGTTGCACACGTTGCAGTTGCTAAGCAGGAGAACCTGTGGGGTGTGTGTTGCACAATGGCTCAGAAGTCCCAGGGGGAGGTGGGAATGCAGTTGTGTTCCTCTTGGAGAGCAGCTGGTAGAGTTAGCCAATCATATAGGAAAAGTGAACGCAACAATCTACATAAAATCATAGGAAAAATTACTATAGAAGGGACCTCTGCACATGAACTAGTGCAACCCTCATTCTGAGCAGGGCTAGATCATGTTGGTTAGGGCATCTTGCAGAAGGGTGAGATGCCCTCTACTAAAGGCAGCTTTATGAAAGACACAGCCTGTATCTCAATAGCTTTATTTTCTTCTCCCACAGAAATTTGGCTGTGATGGCATATTAGGATCTCTGGCTCGTGAAGATCATTGCGGTGTATGCAATGGTAATGGAAAGTCATGCAAAGTTATTAAAGGCGATTTTAACCATACCAGAGGAGCAGGTAAGTGTTTATTTCAAATACTCAGGAAACCAGTAGCTGTTTGATTACTTTGAGCACTGGGAACTTTAAAAAGCTATACTTCTTAAAAAGATACAGTTCCTCACAAGAACTTCAGATCTACTGTTTTTAAGATAATAAGACATTTAAGTCAAGAGTGCATGAGTATTTTTAAATTTAATTGTTGCAAAATTATTGCAAATTGTTTCAATTATAAAATTAAGGAATTATCTAATTCATCTTCCATTAAGACACACATTATTTCATAGAAGAGCCTGATTTTTTAAAAATTGTGAAATAAAATTTATGGTTTTAGTAAATAAATGAACTGTAAATTCTTATAGTGTATAGATTCATTCAGTGTTCTTCAAAATAAATATCCAAATTATGATCTGTTACCTAGAGTAAGCGTCATTAAACTAAGCCAGGCAGTGGGAGAACATAAAGCCGAATGTGTGAAGAAGTCTTTTATCTTTTCATTATTCATTGTTTTTTACTAATAATAACATATTATGAAAAGCAAATAGATTTTCTGATGCAGAATGAACATGAGACTTTCAAACACTGCTGTGATCTGTTCTTTGAAAGAGAATAATTGACTGGCTCCAGCACAATAGTGTTGACAGAGTAGAGGATTGAAATCCTAATAATGTGCTCTAGGCACCATGTATACCTTCCCTCCAAGAAAAGTCTTTTCTTTGAAACAGTGTTTGGCCAACTGTTTTCAGCATTTGTTTGCCATTAAACTTTCAGTTTCTTGAGTAGAAAATGTGCAGAATTTCAAGACAGTAAGTAAATCACATCCAAAAATACTGTAATTAGAAGCAGACAGTATATCTTTGAAAAATCAAGGACTTCAGTGCATTATAGACTGAAGTATAGTACTTTAAAAAAAAAAAAGATATAGTCTTCAGATGTTTATGTCTGGCCCTCTCTTAAGCTGAAGGTAATGCAGAGCAGGGATCCCAAACCACAGATGAGTCGGGAGGACTACAAGATCAAAAACTACAAAGAAGGTGGCTGCTAATACAAATTGCAGTGTGTCAGCTCTCTTTTATAGCTAATGTGAATATCCACACACTTTCAAGTTTATTCAGGGTTCTGCATCAATCCACAATACTGTCGTATTGCCCTCTAAACAATTGCGTAAGTTATTTTCCTTCTCAAGACGCTGGGCTGTCAGCAATACTTAGAAAGTGTTCCTAACTCTTAAGGAAATTAAAGATAAATAATGCTGCTTTGCAGCACTTTGATTTTCATGTTTCAGGATTATTGAAAAGTTGTTTTAAATGCTAGTATTTTGTTATAGAACATTACATAGCTACGCAGAATAAAAACTTCCTTTGCTGTCCACTTTTTGAAGTTCATCCAGATAATCTAAAATATGTTTTTATTTATTTATAACATTTCTGCTTGCACAGTATCTTTCACCTGCATTCCTTTTCACCCCTTTTTACTTAAAGCAAATTGCTCAACAGCACGTCTTAGTCCCACACTCTAAGGAAGCAATTGTAATATAAAGCAAATAACTAATAAGTAGATTTCAAAACTAAAGCCATTCATAACAGGGTTTGAATGTGTTAGAGCAAGAAGAAGGAGATGGAGCACAAAATATTAAAAAAAAAAAGCAACAGCAAAACCAAAAACCTAACAGTGGGACGATGTTTAGTTTTTAGTGCCATATCATTTGTCTCTACACGATGAGTGAGATTGGAATTCTTTTATGGTTGTCTGGTGGTGATGATGACACTAAACTACTTGGCCAGAGACAACTCCATCTGCTCCAGCCCCAACCTGCCCAGCCTCACTAGTTCTTGTTATGTTTTCCTTTGCTATACTCTTTTAATTGTATATCATGGTATACATATTAGACATAATGCACAATTTCATAGCTTGTTTCAACATTTTGCAAGAACCCTCAAACCATTGCTATATAAATTATAACTTACTACATTTAAAAAGCAAAATAGGGGAGAAGAAATGAAAAAACATACAAGATGTACTTTTCTACACTTTTGTATTTAACTCGGGACATCTGGTCTCTTGTCTAGGTTATGTGGAAGCTTTGGTGATACCTGCAGGAGCAAGGAGAATCAAAGTTGTGGAAGAAAAACCAGCTCACAGTTATTTAGGTAAATGTCATATGGTTTAGTGTTCATGTCCTGTTTGGGTCAGCACTGAAGAGTGCTAGCTAAACATGCTTTTGTGATTAAACAAAACTCTGAGGGAAAAAAAAATCTCTGAAAAATACTTCTAAAGAAATTTTGTAGAAATAACAAAATGAAAGAATGGTTATAGCACCATTCTTCATATAGGTTTTATTTTGAACTTTTGTTTCATCTCATTTTGTTTAGAGAATATTTCAAAGAATGTATTTACATGATTTAAGAAAAATTCTGCTTACTTTATCTTCAACATTTTCAATTTTTCATATGGAAAGCACTAAAGAAAATACTTCACGTTAAAACTAGTGAAAAGAGTTTTATGCTGAAACATGGAATAATTTGTGCTCAGACAACAAAAAACCCACACTGACCAACATATAGCAAATCACCAACAAAGACAAACTAAAGTTCTAAAACTAAGACAGCAGAAAAGTATTTCTTGGCATTATTTTGAATTGTCTGAATGTTTTAATGGACAAATTTAATCACAATGAATTTTTTTTTTTTTTTAATTTTTTTCATTTCTATGCAATTGTCTTTCATTGAAAAAAAAGTTTTTCTCTTTTAATGAATTCTAAAGCTGTTGTTAGGAGAGTATAATTTTTTACTATTATTGTTACAGGGTTTAAGTGAATATATGAAATATCATAATTGGTGCTGTTCCGTGCACTGCTTAATTTTAAATTGAGAGAGACTTAGTATGAGAAATAGGACAATGAAATGAAAAATTCCCTGGTTTGATCACTGTCCTTAGTTCTGCTCATAAGTAATATCTACATTTTAAGAAACTTTTTACCTGAGTGTTCTCAGACTTCAACTGAGAGAATGTTAAAGATGGTGAACCTTAATCATGACAGCTTAAGTTATCAATGGGTGACTTGGTTTATCATGGGGTCTGCATCTGCCCTGTTAAGATATCACAGGAGATTTAGAGATCTGGATTGTTTCATTGTTCCCCAATGGACCATGGAGATGGTATGTAAGAGTGTCAAACTGAAGTTTCATTGACATATTTTCTAAATTTCCCAAGTGTTTTTTTTCCCTCTGTGTCTAGTGTGTTAACATATATGGACAACAGAAATACTGTTATTTTTTATTCTTAAAATAAGGCAAAAATAAATAAATGTTGGAATTGTATTTAGGGAAATTAATTTATTTTTCATGAGTAGCAAACTGATTCATCCCTTACCCTTACAAAACGCAAAAAGACTGTAAGGTTTTTTATGCCAATGAAATAATGTCGTTCATGCTGCTTATTTTTGAAAGATAATAATTAGCACATAATCAGCTCTTCATTGCTTGTCACTTTAATTTTACTTTTCTTAATTTCACTAATGTCAGTCTGAATGGGGATCAGCCAGTATTTCATTGCAATATTTTTTTGTTAAGCCTTTATGGGGAAGCAGGAACAGGTCTGCTACAGTATTTTGAATTAAAACTTGTGTTGTTTCAGCTTTTTACTAGCAGAAGCTATTTAAACTTTCTTCACTTATAGGAGATTTATTCTGAAAGCATAAAAATCTGAACTGAAAAGGAGTAACATCTTGAATAGGAACATTTTTTAATAGGAGTAACATATTGAAAGTTTTGAGGAAAAGGCATAAATCTTTCATTTTAGAAACAATACTCTTCAAAATAGTGTGATTAAAAATATAAAATGTAGTACAGATTAAATTGTCCCGTTTCTGATTTGTTTTCCATCTTTATAGTTCTGTATGCTAATTTTATGCTGCATAGTACTTTGCTCTCTGCATTTCTGTGCTTGAAATGAGTCAGTACAGGCCAATGCTATTTCTGTTTTGCTAATTGTCATATACACATTTTAGGATAAAGTTTTTAAAATAATATAGCTCTTCATATAATTAATAATTGTATAATTAGACATATAGCTGTAAACACAATTTAATCAAGTGTACACTAAGAGCTGTGGCTTACAAAGTAGAATCTAACTTAAACTGAGGGAAGATTTAATCCCTGTTTGTACAGCACAGGTCAAATACAGAGGCAGTTAGAATGAAACGCCCTTCTCTGGATTTACTTGGTGGTCAGAAAGCAGTATCACTATGATCTGGAAGCTGCAATGATGTTGCTGAAGTGATTAGTAAAAATACAGCCCACATCAGTAGCATCATTGGTGACTGTGCTGTTGAAGCAAATCTTCAGAGGAGTGCTTCCTGAACACCTCAGATATCCTCTTCATCTGAGGTATATCAACATACGCCACAATAACAGGAGCTCTGGCATCCTAGGAGAAAAGATAAGGTATAACTTGCAACTGCATTTACTGAACTGATGGATCTGTCAAGGTCTGTCCTGTCTCTTCTCCTCTATGGGGAGATAGGAGCAGTGATAAAGCCAAACATTAGGTATTCCTCCCTACTGAAGTTATATGAGAAAATGCGTAAGAGATTGTGATTCTTCTTTCATCATTAGAGCGTTCAGGAATAGGAATTATTTGTAGCAGTATAGAGGGGGAAAAAGTGTTTATTTAATTAGAGAATATTTCCTAAAGCATATAATTATTAATTTTGGAATTAGAATTCATTATTTTAAGAAAGAATTTTGAGATTTATTTTTAAGGAATGAATTAGCAGTGATAACCTTGTCTGCTTATAACCATGTTGACATGACACTTGGTTCATTGTCAGTTACGTCAAAAAATTATTATAAGAACAGCTATAAAAAACTTGTTTCAAGCATTATCTAGGTTCCTGTGGTGAAAGATAATGCCTTTGCTGCTGCTAAATACTAATTTATATTTGGCAGATGTTAAAAGTTTTTTCAAAAAAAAGTTCTTAATGTAGGATACAAAAAGGAAGCTTACAGTATTTTTGTGTGAGAGATACACTAAGCTTTGAGATTAGAGAGTCATTCATGTGACACCTGTATAATGGTATGACAGATCCAGGCCCCATAATGAATTAATAAGAATGGTTGATGGTATGTAACTATACAAATGACTTACAATCTAAAACCTGAAATTTTTCTGTGCTAATTGGAAATGAGAGAAATTATTTGTTTTCAGCTGAACTAAAGAAGCAGATTAGCTGTATCATTATTCTCAAATATGTGATCAAGCTGCTTCGGGGATATAGACACTCTGGACCTGCAATTTAACACTGCATGACATTGTAGTTGCCAATTCTCTTACAGGTGTCAAGTCTATAGACGTGCTGTGTTCTTGTCTGATTTCCTTTATGAAATATGTTTCCTAGTAAAAAAATGCATGTTGTACCATATTTTGGGGGAGGAGGGTGTGCGAAAGCAGATGGGGTCTGACAAATAATACAAAATTTTGCATCCCTCATTTCTGACAATGCTAATAGTTTTTAAATACCTTGGACCAAATCCTTAGACTGTGTAATTTCTAATTTCAGGGGAAGCCAGTTGTGGACGTGGTCCCATAGCAGTGACCAGAGTCCACTGAGACTAAACATGTTTTCTTTCATATATAGAGGGCCATAGAAGATGGTTAATAAGTAACACCTTTTGAAACCACTTTACATCAAGATGAAAAAAATGCCCTCTATATAAAAAAAGGGATTGATTTCACAGACTTGTCTTTGAAAAGCAGCGGTGAACAGATTGAGAGCTTATGGGTAAAAATTAGGGGCCAGCCCAACAAAGGAAAACTTTGTGGTTAGTATTTACTACAGGGTGCCCAACCAAGGGGAGCCTGTTGACGAAGCATTCTTACTTCAACTACAGGAAGCATCACACTTGCAGGCTCTAATCCTGCTTGGGGACTTCAATAACCCGACATCTTCTGGAAAAACAGCACAGCAAGCTGGAAGCAGTCCAGGAGACTCTTGGAGTGCATCGAGGATAATTTCTTAATCCAGGTGATAGACAGCCCAACCAGAGACACAGTGTTACTGGACCTTGTTAGTTGCATACCAACACATATGAACCATTTAGCGAGGTCAAGACTGGTGACAGCCTGAGCTGCAGTGATCATGCTCTGGTGGAACTCACCATCTTGAGGGAAGATCAAAGACTAAAGCCAGGACCCTGAATGTTAGGAGAGCAAACTTTCAGTTGCTTAAGGAATTAGTGGATGGGACACCCTGGGAAAATGCCCTCAGGGGTAAAGAAGCAGAACAGAACTCACAGCCCTTTAAGGACATTTTTCCTAGATCACAAGAGTTCTCAATTCCCACATGTAAGAAAACAGGCAAGGAAGGCAGGAGACTGGCATCGCTGAGTAAGGACCTCCTGGTCAAACTAAAGTGTAAGAAGGAAATGCATAGGCAGTGGAACCAGGGACACTTATCCTGGGGAGAATATAGGGACACTGCCCAGATGCATCAGGATGGGATCAGGAAAGCTAGGGCACAGTTGAAGCTGAATTTGGCAAGGAATGGGAAGAATAAGAATGGCTTCTACAGGTACGTTAGTCAGAAAAGGAAGATTAAAGAAAACGTACACACAAACACACACACACACCGTGATAAATAAGAGGAGAATTAATGACAATGAATATGGAGAAGGCTGAGGTACTCAACCATTTTTTGCCCCAGCTTCAATGGTAAATACTCTTCCTACATCTCACATGTCGCTGAACATCAAGGCAGGGACTGATGGAATGAAGTCCCTCCCATTATAGATCAGGTTTGAGACCACCTGAGGAACCTGAACATACACAAGTCCATGGGACTCGATGAGATGCATCCAAGGGTCCTGAGGGAAATGGCTGATGTAGTTGCCAAGCCACTCTCAAGCATATTTGAAAAGTCATGGCAGTCAGGTGAAGTCTCCAGTGACTGGAGAAAAGGGAGTATTTCACCATTTTTAAAAAGGGTAATAAGGACCCTGGGAACCACCGATCAGTCAGCCTTACCTCAGTGCCCGGTAAGATCATGCAACAGATCCTCCTGGAAGTTATGTTGAAACATATGAAAGACAGAGGGGTGATTAGAAACAGCCAACACGGCTTCATCAAGGGCAAATCGTGTCTAACTAATCTC